GGAATATAAAAGAAAGAAACCAGTTTGCCCAACAGGCTGCAGAATCAAGCTTGCTCTTTCTTCCTTTCCTTCTGGTCCCTGAGGTTCAGGTTCCTTTTCACACAGCAGCCCAAAGGCAGCTGGACAGGTGCACCATGCCCTCACCCACATGAAGAACAGGCTCAGGGATGGACAGGCTGAATCTGAGGTTTGGACTTCAGCTTTATGAAAACTCTTGAGCCCTGTGGGTCATGGATGAAAGGTGATGACTACAGTCCCATTGCACCAACAATTTTGGGAACATTTGAGCTTTGCAGTGCCACTAGGAACCGCTGCAGCCTTATAATTGCATCGAAACCTGTAAGCCACTCTTACTAAATCTTGTTAGATTACATCTGAATATAAAACCAATTTTCTAATTTGCTCAGGAAGGGGTAGCAAAAATATTGTTTTATTTGGCTTTACAAAACCAAGTTTATTATAATACCCTTTTTCCAGGTGTACCAAGTAACAAATTATAGCAGAGACTGTTTGCAATGTTAGGCAGAGGACTTTCAAAGATGTCTGAAGACATTTGGACACAGCCTCACTCTTCCTTCTTTGAAAGTCTGTCTCATCTTCAAAACGACCCTTAAACTGTATTAATCATCTTGATTGCACCATGTGGCTAATAAGCTGACTGCAGGAGCAGCATACTTTCAAGGTAATGAGAGACAAGATGGAAAATGCATCAATGCTGCAGACAGTCTATTGAAACATATCAGCATTGATGATTACAGGGAGCTTTAAAGCAAACAAGAAGTGTATAATCACAGTTAAATAATTCAATAATGGGAGCAATTATGCCTCGACAGTCAATGTATAAAAAGGCAGGAGGTAAACAACCAAAAAGCACAGATCTATGCTAGTATAGTAATAACGTAAGATGCAGTCAGACTGAGTCTGTAACAGTCGGAAATTGGAAGTGACAGCAGCAGAACTCAGGTGCTTTCCACCTCACTGTACAGATATCCTTGGTCTAAGGTGCTAGAGGAGCCAGACAGCTTTGTCCATTTCACAGAGGACAAAGACAGAATTCCCCTTCATGTGGGGAAACACCATACGTACCTTTGCATGCCTGCCCGTAGGGATGCAGAGTAGCGCCAGTCAGGATTGGGGTGTTTTGGCTGTAGAAACAAAAGCCCAGGATAAGGTTGTTAGTGTATGTTAAATGTGCTGAAAAGCATAGGCATCGGGCTAATTTTGTCAGTAGAGTCTAAATGAAGCTACTCAACTTTTGTGAACATTCAGAATGGCCAAATTGTTCTACAAAGCTAAGGGAACTTTCAAATGGACACACAAAGGGTGTCTCTGTAATAGAGAACCTTGTTTGCCTGCCAAGGCCTTTGGCTAGAGATGATCTCTGTGGAACGACATTTAATGCTGGAAACCGGTGGACAGTTATTTCATACAGTCATCAACATTCTGAGCATAGGAAAAAACCCCAACATCATAAATCCATATAACATGTTGTTTGTTTACCTGATAAGCTGAGGAAACTCGAGCTCCTGAATAGCATTTGCCTGAGGACGTATAAAATACGGCCCCCTGTGAAGGGCACATGCAGGGTAGTCAGGCTGCTGAGGTTTCTGCTGGCATTTAGTGTACTGCAGAGGAGTGCGCTAGATTGTATCAGATTTGCAGACTGCAGCAAGTCTTTTATCAAAGGCAGACGTGCTCTTTCATAATATCAAGAACTACTACAGTCTCCGTATTCATGAGAAGGCATAAGAGGTGGAAGGGGAAAATAGCCAGCAATACCCTTCGACCAACAAACCTCAGCATACGCTGACCTGCTGCAGAATAACTTGCTAAATAAAAGAGAATGAAGAAAGCCTCTGTTGATCAAAAATCGCTGCAGAAAATCTCTTTTGCATTGTCAGGGGACCATCACAATGATTTTCAACTTCAGCCAATGAATGCAAGCTCAGGTCCTTTAAAATTAAGTCCTAAGCACATAACAAGGTTATTTCTCAGGATTCTCAAGACATTATTCTGTAGGTGATACTGCAGCCAGTGCTTAACTTCAGGCACTTGAATTCAAAGAGAGAACTTATGTCCAGAAACATAATGGACTACCCTCCATTCCTGGTCTGTCTTGTACAGAGCCAAACACACAAATAATATATGACAGTAATGGTTTAATTCTCTTCAAGCTATTGGAGGCGGATCAGAAATGAATTTTGTCCCATTACTTGAAAGAGAAAAAGAAAGTGTTGAATGCTCTGAATTATTTAAAGCCAACTCTGTCTTTCCTCTTGAGGGCTGGGGTATGCTTTTTCCTGGATCAATAGGTTTTATTCAAATAAAAATGGAGCAATTACAACTTAGACTATTGCTCTATAACCATATTCCCTGGGTCCAGCATCACTCAAGAGTGAGACGTTCTTGGATGATGTGCATCCTAGTGTTCTTTATGGTCCGAGTTACACAAAAGGGAGGAGGCTGCTATTTACAACCACACATTAAACATCTGTGCTAGCAATTTCCTTCCCATTTAGCCCCCAGTTCTCTGGCGTGCTCAGGTTCTGCTGAGTTTAGCAGAAAGTGGCTTGACAAGGAGCCCGCTATGCATGGTTCCAGTATTTTCTGATTCATTCCATTTTGGCTCCAGGCCCAGGGATGTCAAAGCAACTCTAAAGTCAACTGTGTAGTAATAATCAATGAAAGAGGATAGAAAATACACACTGATCAGATCCTCTCCTGAGTTTGCCCTTGTTGATGTACGAAGGGTGCTGACACCAGATTATCCTCTGCTGGGGGAACTGATGGACTGGGGAGAGGGGGAAAGCCCCTTTGCTCTTTTTTTCCAACAGGAGAGATGCAGGTTACTAATTTGTACGGGCTTATAGGCAGTGTGAGGAGGAATCTTACCACAGTCCCAGGCAAAACACAGATGAAGTGAGATTACATCAAAGAGCTGGAAAAGTCTGACACGAGTTGGGTAGGAGTGAGAAAAGAGGAAACGGCCACTCGCTCACAGTACATAGATTTTTGGTTGTCAGCTAAGAGCTTTCCAGCTCTTGCTTAGAAGACAAAAATCTATGTTCTGTTGCAGTGGGAACTTTCAAACACCAGATCATAAATGGGTGATGATGGCAGGAGAAACTCATCAGTTAGAAATTTATCATTCATGCATGGACAACATTCACCGTGTCAATATAACAGAAAGACCAGCAATTAGGAGATTGTGGTATTTTCAAAGGTTACTGTCCAGAAGTTGTGGCATCTTGTGGCTACTCTCAAACAGTTCTCTGTTTGCTACTAGTCTTCAGGCAGGGCTGTAGTTCAAATCTATTCTCACCCAGTTTTACCATGCATGCACTGCTTGACTGGGAACTTTCAGACCTCAGCAAGAGACGCATGTTTGTCCCACACTTGTGTTATCACAGGTCAATGTCCTGTAACTGGCAAAACTGGTGAAATTCCAATTTTGTCAGTGTAACTGGCTTCTTTTGTTCTGCTACAAACAGTCATTCTTTAAGATCCTCTAGTCATAAGAGAAAAGCTGTTTCAATACACCTTTGGACAAGACCGGGCAATTAGGAGCAAGAAAAGCCAAAAAGTATGGGCGATAATAGAAGCGACAGCATAGCAGAAGCAGCAAACCTGTTCACTAATATCTTTCCCCAGCTCAGATGCAGCAGTGATGCTTCTTATAGAACCATCAGGCATTCACAGTCTACATGCTTGGGTTGGCTTATCTCTCTGGCTATGAACAGCCCACCTTTACCAGACCACTCACTGAAACCCACCACATTGACACATGCTGTCACACAGCACGCAGCACTGTGTCATGAGACGATATGGCCCATCTCAAAGTAGAGTCATGTCTTCAGCACAGTCCCAGAGGACAAGAGTCTGCACAGCAGCTGTTAGGAGGCTCTTCTGCAAAGCCCTGTCACAGGCTTTGTAGTGAGAAATGGAGCTGTGTGATAAATCAACACCTCCAGGACATGGTACAGCTGGCCAGGAAGCACGGGTACAAAGGGGAAGCACAAAGAGGAACAGGGACTCTGAAGTGCTCCAGATGCTTCCCGGTTGTATGTCCCCATACTCCCACTATGTCACACAATTCTGACAAAGATATTATTGTTCCTTTTACCTCCCCAGCTCCCAACTCATTACAAGACCCTGTTTATCTCACGCCAGCCCACTCTACTAACTTTAAGGTAATCTTAGTCTGCCATTTCCCTCAGAGATTTTTGGAGGCCATGGACCAAGTCCAGTGGTCCTGTCCTTACCACTCACCAATGGAGGTGAGAAAAATCACACGATCCTGCACAGAAGTAATCAACCATTCCCTGTTTCTCCCATCACCTGCTTTTTCTAATTTAGTAACAGCACACATCATCATAGTTGTGGGATAGGTCACTATCCAGGTGCCTATAGAAGTCATTGTCACTGCACCAGGTGAACACCTCATGCCAACAGTTTGCTCATGTCGGTTCTTCCAGGCACCAGGATTACATTCAGCCAACCACAACCACAAACATTAATGTGACTAGTCATAAATAACCAACCCTACTGGAAAGTCTGATAAGCAAAGTGAATGTACAATATAAAATGGAGCCACCTTAAGAGCAAAAAAGCTCATGCAAAATTTCTCACAGTTGTTTTCATACTGCACAGAGTGGGTTAATTTAAGAATCATTTCATTTGTTCATGAAGAATAAATTTAGTTGAAAATACATTGTTACAAACATTTTGCTCCATTCTCTCTTTTATCTTTAACACAATAAGGATTTGTCCCTGGGATACAAGGAATCTCTAAATTTGTTAATGTTGTTCTGATCCCATATTAATGAAAATCAAGGCAAAGGCTACCATTCACTTCACGTGGGTGTTAGATCAGGGCCTGCCTGAGGCAGAGAAGTGTGAATCAAACATTTACAAACAGTTACCAGATGATGAGACTGCTAAAAACATCCCACTCCATTCCTGTTTCCACACAAACGCATGACAGAATGACATAAGGTATGTTTATCAAATACATCCACTTTGAAGCAATAATAAAAGACCTTTTAGAACTCCTGACCGCAGCTCTGCTTATTTTCAGTGAGAACTGACAGATGTGGGGAAATACTAGTCAGGCTACTATTCCTGACTTCCTTCTGTAAATGTTTAGAATTAACTTGATGAGGAGAACAAACTATTTTTAGACTGAACATGTGTTTATCATACAAGAAATCAGAATGGGAACTGGAAAAGTAGTAGAAGTCTAAAAATTTTCTTCCTGACAGTGTTCATTTGCATTCCCTGAGAAAATGAAGGTGAAGTGCACAGGCAAGTGCTTCTGCAAAGTATATTTAATGAGCTCCAAGGGAGGAAAAATGCCTCTGCTTAATACTGGATGCAAATTTCTGCTGGCACAGCAGTAAGCATCAAACCAAGAGTCTGACTGCCCCGAAGCACAGAGCACTGTCCCTGCTTAGCAGAACGGGTTCAGATACTGCCACTAAACAAAAGAACAAACATTTCTAGTTAACCTTTACAATGTCAGTGGGGCTGGAGAATTTCTTAAAGGCTTAAGTACTTGAACTGAGATTGTAAGATATTCCACCATTAATACCTTTAAAGCCTCTGTGAGAAATCTCTTGGAAAGACTGCTCCAGACAATGCTGTGGGATTTAGACACTTCAAAACATGCTTGCATTTTAAAGCAGTATCAAGATGTGCTCAACTCAAGTGTCATTTGTTGGTTGGTTTTTTTTTCCATGTATTTAGCAAGCTGGTTTTGAAGTGCAAAACACAGAGAAAGAGCCAGAAGTAGAGCAAACAGCCATGAAACTCCACTGAACCCCTGGGTCTTACCATCGCTTTTATTTCACTTCCTGAAAAGTGTCCACAGAGCAACAAGCAAATTTATTGCTGAACTTGACACCAAACATCATATTTTGTCGGCCACGCATGTCACCACACAAAAAAGGGTACAGAGAAATGTATAATCAGAAGAGTTTGTATCTAGTTCTGTCAAGCATCCAGACTGACCCCTTATCATGAGGAATGTGTCAGGCTGCCTTCTAGGGCCGAAAACTCCAGTTAAAACATATGTTGGTTTGATTGTTATTCCCTGTATCGAAGGGTAAAGGTTGTCACGAGATCCAAGACATAATGAACAAGCAGTTAAGCACAGAAAGCAAGAACAAGACGGGAGAGATGAAAAGGCGACCCAAGGACCAGACACTACCCAGATGTCACTCAGCGTCTTCACAGGCATACGCGGAAAGGGCGTCCAGCCTACAGCACTGAAACCTTTCCTGAAAATGACGGATGATCGCTGCAGCAGTGTCCAGTAAAAAAAAAATCACACCTTCCCACACCCGCTTCACAGCTGTGTGCGCCCCCCCCCTCCAAAAGGCAGGAATCCAGGCTGCCCGTAACCTCACGCAGCGCCAGCAACGAAGCCACAGTATTTTGCTATCCCTAAATTTTGCCTGCTCACCCTGCAGTAGTTCTTTAGCTGACGAAAGCATGATACTCATTAACCCCACGTTCTGATCCTTATGACCAGGCTCTTGCCAGCAATAACTGTTTCTAAGGTACTAACACAGCTGCACTGAAAATATTCTTTTACAAAACACATTTGGTTTGGGATATTCTTATAAACCTATAAAGGACCACACAGGAAAACCAGGTGAATGCAGAAGCACAGGCTGCCTTGCTGAAATAAGCTCCCATTCCACCATCGCATTAGCAGTGCAAGTCAGAATAGTCACAACTTAGAGTAAAGCAATTAACAACATCCTTGACCTTATTAGTAAACATGAAAAGGACCAAGATCTTATTGCACTGTTACAGAGACTAATCCCAAATAACTTTGAAATATTTTTCCTCTCACTGTATAAACATTTGCAAAATACTAGCCTTTGTGAAACCCTATGTACAGTACGCATGCATAGAGTGTCCATTCACCTGGTCCCATCCTCATCACTGAACAATTAACAGAAGATCAATTTCCAAAAATTGGAAAAGAAAAAAAGGACCTGTTCACATTACCCAAAAGTAGCATACACATCAGAGATTAACGCTGTAAATCAATGCAAGGACAAAGATGCCTGTTGCTACACTTCACAGACGAAGGCATAGGCTTTTATAGACCGATTAAAAGTTCATTTCAACTAAAATGAGAAACACAGGTCTCTGAAGAGCTAGTAACACAAAGATCATCATCCTTAAAAAGCAGAATTCAGGGTTGCTAAGCAATGGATGGCATCTTCAGTGCGTATGCTGAGCTTGAAATAAGGAAGAGACATGATTTTATAGTACGTAATTAGCTCAGAATTAGTAATTAGTGAATGTCAGTACATTCACCCATTTTCTCAGGTACACCTGGCATTGATACATCTTCATGTACTACCCTGGGACAGTTTAAGAATCAGAGACGTAAGAAAAGAACTTGTGACAAGAAGAACTTGTCAGAATTGCACCTGTGTTTACATCATACAGAACTACTTGAGTAATTGATTCCTCTTTTGGGTCACAACTCCTCACAGGCAGGCATTCGTTAGTTTGCTCTATACAGCTCTACTTCTGGACTCCAAGTTTGGGCTGGCTTTGTTGCCAGGGCCTGATCTGCACCGGTGTTCAAAACTTGCTAATTCATTGCATGCAATGGAGTGATTGCCTAAAATGAGATAGGAATCTGTCTGTTAAACTAATTTCCTACTGGTCTTGCATCCAAAGTTAAGCCATTTTTCAACTACTGCTCCTCTTTTTTTTCCCCCAGACATCAGATGCAAGGGTATATTTCACTTTTTGATTCTTCAGCATACATACTTAGAGTATGTCTCATGTTTCCTCCTATATCAAACAGACACCAAGCATTTTATTGTACTCAGAGATTTTATGGTACAAAAACAGCGTAGAAAAATAAAAAATACTTCCCCCATAACCTGCCACTGTGATTTATAAGAAAACACTGCAATAATTTTAAATTAATTAGTCTTGAATGGATGATCATTACTCTCTAAAAGCATATTTATGAAGACTTGCTAGTCCTTAGGATTCGTGCATCTTTGTATAACTAGTTACAAAAAGATACTAATATCTTCGCATGTGAATAAGTATAAAGAAATAAAGAAATAAATTACACTTCTTTGGCAAGAATATACAAGACAGGCTCCTTTCTATCCCACCACAGTTCCTTCCTCCAGCTTTCCCACATCTGGAGGCATAGCACACATTAATGCATGAACTGATCTTATACCTGCCACAATTGTAGGATACAAACAACACACAGTAATCGGAAAATTTTCCTTTTGTGAACCAGAATTAGTCTCTCCTGTGAGTGCTTCTGGGTTTAGTTGCAATATGTATAGAAAGGAAACTGTACAGAGCAGGCAAACCACACACTAACTGCAGACTGCCTGTATGCTGGCATAAAGCAACCATTAATTCTTCACTGTGGGGAAATATCGAAAAGGCTGCTGGTCAAACCATAGGTATTAAACAATTTTGAATGGCAACCCAGCAGGTTAGAAGTTGTCACACTGCAACACAACGATGGCAACTTGCTGTAATTTTCTACGAAGATGTCACTGTCCGAAAGCAGGAAATGCAGCACCAGGTAAAACAAATGTTATCAAAGGAGGGATTGCAGTTTTCAGACAACTGAAACATGCCCACATTAGTAAGCAAAGCTTATTATTGTAATGATCTAAATTTAACAGCTTTGCCTATGTACAAAATCAATGAAGTTGCAAACATCTATAAATGCCATAGATTTCCAGGCTATTCACTTTTTTATTTTTTCCTGCAATATTACTTTTAATGTTAAAACTTTAAGACTGCACATGTCATTCCCCTGCACTAGCAGGCCATTTCAGCTGTGTAAGAGAAAAGGGAAGGAGGCAATACTCTATACAGCACACGCTGCAAAAATGAAGTGCATCTCAAACAACAGATACATATACCGAACTTACCAAATAGACCCTGAAAGTCCCAGTATTTACCTAAAAACAAAAGGCATTGCACAGATTAGATTAATTAGAACCACGTTTCACAGCTGCGTGTCAGTGAGCCCAAAGGGGAATATGCTCAACCTGAGTTTTCCAGTTTGAACCTCTTCTTAAGTACAGATTTTCTCAGAGCACCGTGCTGACCATTTATCAACGTAGGCTCACCTCATTAGGAGTAATGGAGTCATTTTTAAGTATGATCAGGTTTTGTGCACTCTGCCCACTCTGTCCTGTCAGATGCCTCTCAGTCATCACTGCAGAGGGACCAGTAGTTCCTGTTGGGCCACAGGTATTGTAAAACATAAAAGTGTCACTTCCTGATCCTGCAGTTAGGCATGCCTTATAGCAGTAGGTCTTAGTGAGAGACCCATTGCCCCTCACTTCAATGAAATGGGGTTGTACTTTTAAACCGTGGGGCAACCTAGCATCGATGTTGTTGTTGGCCTGCTTGTATAAGTCAGCAGGGCACCGTTCTCTGACCCCACAGAACCCTGCACAGCAGGAGTCCCCATACAGACTGTATCTGTAGCACTTGATAACAGTAAGCCCAATGATTGTGAAAAGGAAAACGAAGGAGATGGCGCTCAAAGCGATAATGAGATAAAGAGTGATCTCTGAGTAATTGCTCGGACTTCTAACATGCCTTCTTGTATCAGGGATGATTTTGGAAACTCTGTCCACCACAGCAACAGTGATGGCTACTGATGAGGACATCGGTGGCTCTCCATTGTCTCTCACCTCCACCGTCAGGTTGAAAGTAGGTGTGCTGTCCTCTCCCAGTTTGCGAGTAGTCCTAATCTCCCCAGTATGAAGTTCTACCCTGAACAAACCTGGATCTGAGGTTTGCACCAGGTGGAAGAACAACCAGGCATTTTGTCCTGAGTCCCCATCAATGGCTATAATTTTGGTTACCAAATATCCAGCATATGCTGAGCGTGGGATCATCTCCAGGGCTGCTGAAGTGTTGGTTGAGGTAGGATACAGAATCTGTGGAGCATGGTCATTCTCGTCCACCACGTAGATGTGGACAGTGACAGTGCTGCTCAGTGGTGGGCTCCCAGCATCCTGAGCCTGAACAACCACCTGGAACTCCCTTAGTGTCTCATAGTCAAAGGACCTGACAGCATACATGTTGCCGCTATCAGATTTAATGGAGACATAGGAGGCGACAGGTAGCCCTTCGATCTCCCCATCTAGTAGAGAATAGGACACATAGGCATTTTCGGCGACATCTGGGTCAGTGGCTTTAATAGTGCACAGCAAAGCTCCAAGGGGGTTGTTCTCAGGGATGTAAACTGAGTACACGGGTTCCTCAAAGTGTGGAGGATTGTCATTGATGTCAGAGATCTCCACATGGATCACCTTCTGGGAGGAGAGAGGGGGGCTCCCAGAGTCGGTAGCTGTAACTGTAATGTTGTAGGCTGCTGCTTTCTCGTGGTCCAGTTTGCCCTGGGTGATCAAGGTGTAAGAGTTCTTGAAAGAGTTGAGCGTGAAGGGGAGGCCAGGGGGGATACGCAGACTCACCTGCTTGTTCGGCCCCGAGTCCTGGTCAGTGACACTCATCAGGGCCACCACAGTTCCTGCCTTTGCATCCTCTGGCACTGGGCTGTACAGGGAGGTCAGGACCACCTCAGGAACATTATCGTTAGCATCCACAATGTTGACCAGCACCTTGCAGTGCCCAGCCATAGAGACAGGGCCCTGATCCGTGGCTTGCACATAGATCTCATAGGAAGATGCTTCTTCATAGTCCAAGGTGCCATTAACCCGCACCTCCCCTGAATGTGGGTCCACACTAAAGAGCTGCCTCACCTTCTCTGGAGTGTAGCTGCCAAAGGAGTAGATCACATCCCCGTTGGAGCCCTCGTCGGGGTCTGAGGCATTGAGTTTGACCACTAGCGTGCCAGGCGGGGCATTCTCCAGAAGGCTCACGGTGTAGGTGGAGCGGTCAAAGGCAGGAGGGTTGTCATTGGTATCCACAACTCGCACAGAGATCTGGGCTGTCCCAGACTTGGGGGGGTCCCCA